AATACTTTTTTGGTTGTTGGATTTAAAGTCTTATTGTAAATCTGTTATAATAATAACACACAGCTTTGTACATGTTGTGCTCACTGGTTCTATATGAGCCCAGTGGGTTGTGCTTTACAGGTGTTAACAGGTTGTTTACATGTTGTTATTATTGTTATTAATTAATAAACACTGAAGCTCTAACGGCTGGAGGAGACGCCATGTTGAGTTGGGTAATCTCTGCCGTTGTGTAATAATGAGCTCACAGTGCTTCCATCCGATTGGCTCATTCGTGTGGCTGTTATTTCAACGGACCAATGAAAATCAAAGACACGCCCCCGACGGCCCGGAGCGAGCCAATGGGACCGCAGTGACGTCACGCGAGACGTTCCATGTGCCCGTGTGACGTATGCGGCCTTCAGTTACAGTCGCCATCTTGTTGTCGTCGAGAGCGGGCAGAGAAGGACGACGGGCGGCGGGAAAACGGCACAAAGCGGCGGTAAAACCCCTCAGCCAGGGTCTAACGGTAGATACACGAGTACATGGACTGCCTGCTAATCAGAAACCATGGTATCGATAAGGCTGGTGTAGGTTTTCCCGGGTCGTTCGGCTCAAAGATGGACGACAAAGCGGCGCGGGAAGACGCGTGCGGAGAGTACCAGTCCTCTCTGGAAGACCTGACGTTCAACAGCAAGCCGCACATCAACATGCTCACCATCCTGGCAGAGGAAAACCTGCACTTCGCCAAGGATATCGTCGCAATTATTGAAGCGCAAATCAGCAAGGTTTTTATAAAATAGAATCCTTTCACTTCCAGATGTTTCTGTGTGTCTGTTAAAGGCCTGAGCTCAACATGGCGGCGGTGTCTCCGTGGTTCCCAACCTGTTTATCAAACGGACGACCACAGATTATCTCTTTATCTCTCTTTATCTCTTATTTATCTCTTATTCAACACTACTCGACTCACTCAGTCAACTCAGCACCTGCAGGACGTTTGTGTGAAACACTTTGGTGCATTTTGAGCAGATTATTTACTGTTTAGGGAACTTTTACTTCTATTTTCTGTCTGTTTTGTGTATTTTGGTCATTCATTAAATCATTAACGAGCATACAGACGTAACAGGCTTATCTTCTGTCAAACAGTGTTTCCTGACACATGGCCGCTGTTCTAATAAACCACTTACTCAAAGGTCCAGTGTGTAACATTGAGGAGGATCTGCTGTCAGAACTGTGATATATTTTATATTTAATATATAATATATCCATCGGTGTGTTTTCATTAGTGTTTAATCACCTGGAAATAAGTCGTGTGTTTACCTGAGAATGAGATGATGAGTCCTCATGTTTCTACAGTAGCCTCGAAGGGACAAACTGGATCTAAACTGGAGCTGCTGTTGTTTTGTGAGGAGGGTGAAGCGAGGGAGTCTCAACCTGTAACTACACAGCGAGATGCCACTGAATGCGACACACTGGACCTTTACAACACATTAAGTGTAAAGATATATTACACGTTTAATTAACTCGTTTATGAGGTTGGTAACGAACAGAACAGGTGATAATTATACAGCTGTTATTAAACTGTCAGTAAGTGTCCGGCCCTTCAGCGACCCGTAGTGGGGCCCCGACCCCCGGGTTGGGAACCACTGTGTTACACGTCACTGGGCTGCGTCTCCACCAGGTGTTTAACAACGTTAACGAGGGTTTGTGTATTAAAGACGTCGCTTCTTATTCTCGTTAACGACGAGCCGTGACTCGCTGTCGACATTAATCACCTGCTGCCGCCGTCGGCTCAAAGTCCACCGTAACATTAACACTTCAGTCTGTCACTTCACGGCCCAAACACAGGAGTAAGAAACAAACTTAAATAATGAGGCATATCTGCAGTTTATTGAATATCAGTTTCAGGTAGGTTTCACATCCAGTCGGCTTCAGTACGTTGGTGCACAACAATAAACACTAAACATATAATTAAACACTAAACAGACACATAAAGAGACAATATGACCTTTTATTCAGGAACAGTTTCTGACATTAGGAGACGAATCTGACAGAAAGGATTACACTTACAGTCAGCTGAGTTACAGTCGCTCTGTTTCTTTACAGACGGACAGTGTGTGTTTGTGTGAGTGTGAACAGTGTGTGAGTGTGAGTGTGTGAACAGTGTGTGAGTGTGAGTGTGTGAGCTGTGTGTGTGTGTGTGTGTGTGTGTGAGCAGTGTAAAGAGCTGCTGACTCTCTGAACAGCAGCAGGTTGTCAGATCAGCTGTTTGTGTTACGGTGGCCTTTGACCTCTCAGCCGGCGGCCCTTCGTCTGTACTGCAGAGCTACAGACCACATCCCTCCACCTGCTGTAGGTCAGTTACTCTGTGGTCAGTTACTCTGTGGTCAGTTACTCTGTGGTCAGTTACTCTGTGGTCCGTGTTCGACTCCCGGCGCTTTAATTGGATCAGGAAAGGAAAAGTTTCTCTGCATTCATTCACTAGTGGATTTTGAATCACCTGAAATGTCATTGAATGGTTAAAATGTTATAATAAAAAATGTGAAATGTGCTTTTTGTCATTTTTTATTTCCAGTGTAATTTATTGTTCTGACTCTGGTTCATTTACTGACACTGCTGAGTGACACTCGGCCGGTTCACTGACGGGTAGAAACAGTAAACACTAAACGCCTACAGATCATTGAGTTCCTAAAAGGGTTACGGATGTTTTTAACAACCGCAGGGAGACAAACCTTTGGAGGGTAAAGTGAAAGAATAAAGCTGTGGGTGTTAAAGAGTAAAACGTCTGGGTAAAGTACAAAGAGCGGTTCGGTGAAGAGACCCTCTTTGGAGGTAAACCGGTTCCTGAGGACTCCACTCCTTTTGGATGTTTTCCCTCCCGACTCTGGGAAGAGACTGAACTGACCGACTGGAGAGTTTCTGCACTTTTTCTTGTTTTTGGAGCCGAGTTGTGATCGAACCTCCACCAGGAGACTGTTGGAGTATTTCCCTCACTTTGTTTTTAGTGCTCCAGAACGAAGAATGCTTTTATTTTTATTTTTCCTGGCACAGACTTTCTTTTTGTCTTTCCCTGTGATGTGCTGTTTGTGTGGCAGCGGGGCTGAGGGGCTGAGGGGCTGAGGGGGGGTGATCTGTCTGAATTGTTCTGAAATGTTGGTTTAACCCCTGTTGTTTTCTAAACTTGTTGAGTTCTCTATTGCTCCAGGCCCCATCCTCCGAGAAGCTTCCAGTTTTGTACTTAGTGGATTCCATAGTGAAGAATGTTGGAGGAGAATACCTTGCAGTGTTTGCTAAAAACCTAATCACTTCATTTATATGTGTCTTTGAAAAGGTACAGTTCTCTTTGCTGCTGTTAGCATTGTTTTACATTTAAAGCACTAAAGTCTTTAGCACTTCACCTCCCTCCTGTTTGTTGTGTTGCTTGCTTCTTCTGTGTGATCTCCTGCACTCTGCTCCTGTGTGCTCCATAACGTAGTCCTAATAAAAGCTTTATAGAGACCATTACCTTTAATCTGTCAGAAATAAGTTAGTGCTAACTCTTAAAGTGCTGTTTCTGCTGTGCTGCTGCTGAAGTGTGTTCAGGGTTTTGTTGGTAGCTGTGGACCAAGTCCTGTCCTCTGTTTGTAGGTGGATGAAAACACTAGAAAGAGTCTGTTCAAGTTACGATCCACGTGGGACGACGTGTTTCCTCTGAAGAAGCTGTACGCGCTGGACGTGCGGGTCAACTCGGTGGACCCGGCCTGGCCCATCAAGCCGCTGCCGCCCACCGTCAACGCCAGCATTCACGTCAACCCCAAGTTTTTAAAACAGGTGTGTATGAGCTGCAGACTTTAAGATCCTCACCTACAGTCTGAGCTGCTTCTCTCCAGCTCGCCCCGTCTGTTTGATCCAAACTGCAGTTTTATTAACACAAAACCAGAGCGGTGAGATTAACTAACATGTATAAGTTTCTATAAATGTTTCTGTATCTGGAGGTCTTAATAATCACAGTTTTAGGCCTTCAGTATGATTGATTGATTAGGTTTAACTAACATTAACTCCATTGATCACGCTTTGCTGCAACATGAAACTGACCTGAAACTAATAACAGTTTTCAGTACAGACGTAAAATAGGTAAAACATGTAACTGCAGCTGTTGTAACTATCTGAAGAAGGCTCATTGTAAAGTTTAAGCTGCCAGATATATTCAGTGTTCAGAACAGAAGCAGTAAATTATCACTGAGACAGTTACTCCATTAAAAACTGAATTCAACAAAAATTAAACGTAAAATAATCGAGTTAAATGAAGTTAGTAGCTGACAAACATCCCATAATAAAGTGTTCACATCTGTCTGTAGTGAATTTGAAGTATTGATTAAATCATCTCAAAGCTGTTTTTATCTCGTGTTGAATGTTCCTCTCTGTTGTTTCACCTCGATGTGTCTCCAGTCTGAGGAGGTGTCCTCTCCAACGTCTGCCCCGACCCCACCGGCACCCTCACCCTCACCTGCACCTGCACCTGCACCCGCGCCTGCAGCGGCGCCTGCAGCGGCGCCCACTCCCCCGCCGGCGCCCGCCGTCAGCCAGTGCAGCCTGACGCAGGAGCAGATAATCCGGCAGCAGCTGCTCGCCAAACAGAAGCAGCTTCTGGAGCTCCAGCAGAAAAAGATCGAGCTGGAGCTGGAGCAGACCAAAGCTCAGCTGGTAGGACTCGCTGGGGTCGATGTTATCTGTTCATCTCCCTGCTGTCTTATTGTCTCTGTGTCCGTACGAGCGCTCTGAGGTCTGAGACATTGATCGCATTAATAAGTTAACGTTGCATTTTCAGTCTTTTAACAGTTTTTTGGGGTAAAATTTGTATTGATGAAACTAACAAGTACAACATGAAACCAGTAGCGACTCTGCTTCATAGTAAGTCAGTATGGACATAAGACTGGTCTTACGTTGCATTCATATTGGTTGTAACAGGTCTTACATGTTACCTGGTGACACCTGCAGAAACTAGCATCATCAACACCTTCAAACGTCCTTTAATGTGTTCAGCTGGTCGTGTAGAAGAAGCTCCGTATGAGTGGAAACGTCCGGCTCATAGAAGAGAACAGACGTCCTGTTTGCTGTCAGATAACTGTTGTTCACTCTGTCTGCAGGCCGGTGGCTTTGTGTTGCCAACGTCGACTCCGCTCTCCACTCCGGCAGCGCCGAAGCCCGTCAGCCAAACTGCTCCTGTGGTCCGACCCTGGATACCTCCTCAGACTCAGGCAGACACCAAGCCGTCCACCAGAGACCCCCGTCTGAACCGCACCGGCCCCGCAGGCGCACCCCAACACAAAGAACAGCATGCTGGGAAGAAAGCAGACACAACCACAACAAGTCCCGCTCTGACACCGGAGAAATCCTCCCGGCCAGACAAGGCCAGGACCCCGAGGAAAGAAGTGTTAGAGGAGAAACCCAAGTCCAAGTCTCCATCTCCGCTCGCCAAAAGTGTCCAGAACAAGAACAAACAGGTGGAGCCGGAGAAGTCAGCCGCCGACGGCACAAAGAAAGACCCGAGGCTGAGGAAACGCCCGCAGGACAAGAGCGGAGAGGCCAAAGACGAGGAGCTGAAAGAGAAGAAGAGATGCACCGAGAAGAAGGAGCGAGAGGAGGCTGCGCGGGGAGGAGAGCCTCAGAGGTTCCCCAAGGGGAAGCTGCTCAACGGCTCGTTGACCAAACACGACCGCGACGAGCCCTTGGAGAAGGTCGAGTTCAAGACCGGAGGCAACGCCCGAACACACGCCAGGAAACGCACCCGCTCGCGCTCCAGGTCACGCTCCCCCACCTCCTCCCCGAAGAGGAAGGACAGGCGGTCGCCCAAGAGCAGAGCCAGGAGCTGCTCCCTGTCCCCCTCGCCCTCTCACAAACCCGGCAAACCCAGGAGAGTCCGCGCAGACGAACCGGAGCACGGTAAGCCCGGCAGGGAGGATCGGCTCATGACCAAAAAGAACCAATCGGAGAGCAGGAGGTCAAAGAGGCCGGCGGAGGAGAGGCACCCTGAAAACAGAGACTCTCACTCCCCACGGAGCCACGACGGAGGCAAGGAGACAAAGGACGCTCCTCACCGCTGGAGGAGCGGCTGGGAGGAGAACAAACAGTGAGTCCATCCACTCACATTCTTCTGTTAGTGTTTAAACATCTGAGACGGTACAGGAGGTTCATCCATCACTCACAGATGTTTCATTGTATGACTAAAAGTAACTCTCGTACCTTGTCTGTGTTTCCTCCTCAGTCTGAAGCCGGAGGACGCTCACGTGAAGCCCCCGCCTCAGAGACACAAACAGTACGGCACCCCGACTCGCCCCACCACCCCCCGAACCCCGAAGCATCGCCTCAGCGTGGACGCCAACCTGCAGATACCTGAAGTCCTCAACTCGGCCTCTAAGAAGGACCTGCTCAGGAGGGTACGTCACAAACAGCACTCGCTCATTCACAGGTTGTAGAGAAGATACAGCCTTTATTTCAGCCGGGGGGGGGGCTCTTTAATCACTCAGGTTTTCAGTATCACCATTTTAAAATGAGACTGGAGAGAATATCTGACCACTAAATGTGAATTGGTCAGTGCTGTATAGTCACCACTAGATGGTGCTGAACATCACTGAGCACGTGACTCTGTACAAACAAATGGTTCCTGTGTTCGTCTCTCTTCAGGCCAGTAAGCGTCTGGAGAGCGGGGAGATCTCCGAGGAGGACTTCCTGAACATGGCCCACCAGATCAAACACTTCTTCCAGTATCAGGAGGAGAAGCAGCAGCACCCTGAGAGCTGGGACGACTTCTCCAAGAAACAGCTGCTGCTGACCACGCCCCCCTCCGCTCAGCCCCGCCCCCACGACGGCATGGACGCGGCGGAGCTGTCGTACTACGAGCACAAGTCCAAGCTGAGGAAGACTCAGGTCACCCACCGAGCTACCGGAGAGGAGTGGGAGGGCGAGGAGAGCCCGGAGGAGGGCGAGGAGGCGGTGCTGGGTGAGAAGGCGGGTGGCGTCCGCAGCGTGGGACACCCACCGTCACATAAATACAGCCGGGCGCCGCGGGACAGACAAGGTGAGCGGCGGTATCAAGTATCAGCTACAGTCTGATGGGGTTTGATTGGTGGAGTGACGTGATTGATGACTCTTACAGGTGAGAGGAGGAGCAAAGAGCGCGAGGAGCCGCGACCTCCACCGGGCCCCATGATCGAGGAGTACAACCACGGCAAAGAGTTCCCCACCCTGAAGTCTCTGCCCGGCCTCCGCTTCAGGAGGAGAGCCGACCCCAGAGAGTCCAGTGAGTGCCGAGTCCACCGCGATGTGTCCGTCTGTTCCAACTGAATCCAAATGTTACCTGTCACACAGAGAGGTCAGAGGTCAGAGGTCAGGGTCAGAGGTCAGGGTCAGAGGTCAGGTCAGAGGTCAGG